TAGCCTGCAAGCAGGCTCTCTGGGTGAAAGAGAGCCTGCAAGGATCCCTATGATGATTGCGTGCCGCCTTTCAATTAGGATGTCACAGGTCAATATCAACCAATCAGCGCAGACCGGAAATACACTTAAATATTGTAAACATAAACCGATAAACGTTGAACTCCATTTATATTGTATTCTTTCGTTAGTTTCGTATACAGACCGCCACTGGGGCATACTAAAAAGTTAAAACGGCTTGAGGTTTTACAGTGTAATATATCAAGTTGTACTTTTTATTACAATCTGCATGTGTTTCTGTAGGCACAGTAAGTTTAAAGTTGTATATTACCCGCTAATTCAGTTGTTTGGAATATATATATATATATATATATATATATATATATATATATATATATATATATATATATATATATATATATATATATATATATATATATATATTTTTATATATATATATATATATATATATATATATATATATATATATATCCAGTGTAGTAATAATATAACTGTATAAATATATATATCCAGTATAGTATAGTATAATATGATATACCATGGACATTGGACATAATTTAATATGTTTATAGTTCAAATTTTGCAACAAAAGGTGGAATTACAGTATTAAACATGCATGTGATAATTATTGTAAACAAAGTGACGAGTAAATTACTGTACATTTTAACGCCGCATACTTATAAATATTAAATAGTCAGTATAACATTGTAAAACAAGCTTAACACAAACAATATGCACTGAATATTATCAGAATAATTCTCAATATTGTTTCATGAAAGAGAAGCGATATATAAATGCCTTGTCCCTAGGTTTCGGTCTGCGAATTTGTTCAGTCAGACAAGCCCAGGAGACTTAATAGCCTAGAATTAGTCAGACAAGCCCAGGACACAATAAAGCATGCAAACTTTTAGTATTCGTCTTTATATGAATACTATAGTATTTTACTGTAAAAAGTCAACAAGGATACAAAATACATGACACTTTTAATATCTCTACATTGCCGCAATTCCGAAGCTTTGCGTTGGTCGGTTTTACAAACGGGAAGTGTAGTTTATGGAAGCTTGTCAATCACTTCATTTGAATCAGTTATCAACCGATCAGAGCTCTGCGTCCAAATATTGGACGCATGCACGTAAATATCATAGGGATCCTTGCAGGCTCTCTTTCACCCAGAGAGCCTGCTCGCAGGCTAGGCCGGCCTGGACGGCTGGACCAGGGCTCAGTTAAACTAGAAAGCCCTGGGAACGAGGTTGGTACTTGTCGAGAAAGAGTTTTAAATGATTTAAAATTTTAAATTTATTTCATTTCAAAGTGCGAGTAATAAGTTGAAGCTCGAGTTGAAGAGTTTATCGGCAAAAAGCAGTTCAATTCCCGTTTATTGTGTTGAATTTCACATTAAAATAAACAAGTATCGTGTTGCCATGGCCACATATTAAGAATATACATACTTTAATCTATGCATAGCCATAGTTAATAGAATAGATGGTTTGGAAACTCATTAGAATAACAATGTAATTCATTATATATGTTAGTCAACGTTTATTCATAAATCTGGTCATTCACCGTCACATGCGTATTGTATTTTGCCCAACTAACCAATAGCAATGTTTTAGGAGAGTTACCTATCCGTGACTCGAACAATATAGGGTAAATTGGAAATTGCTATTGGTGGATTTGGCCATAATACAATACCCACGTGATGATGAACGACCAAATTTATGAATAAACGTTGACTAACGTAGATAATGAATATAGCAAAGCGAGCCAGCGGCCCCAGCCCCCAGCGTTCAGTGTTGGCGTAATTATGAATACTTCATGTTGAAACAACGTTTGGAAAATATAGGTGAGGAGATGTTGTATGCATGTGTTTCTAGTTAGTTTTTAAAATATCGCGCATTTATCTTCGTGAAAAGTAAGGCAGCTACTCTATAATCTTCACGCTGTTTGCTGGCATTTTCGATTTAGGGGCGCCCACGCGGCGGAAATTCCAAAATAGTCATTAGCGCGCCATTAGCAAGGGCTAATGAAGACATTGTAGATCGAGAAAAACGAAGCTGTTGGTGTGATTTGGAGTTCCCGCCGTTTTATTTCGCGAATTTATATTGTATAGCCGTATCTTCGCTTGAATACCACCATGGAGAAGGCAAAGGTATGATATTATCATAAACATATACGGGTAGACTTCCTGCAGGAAGATATATTTGGTGAAGGCTTGCGAGTTTTAGTAAACTAGGCAAACTAGCGTTGATAGTTACGGTCGGCTTGACAGTTTGTATGCCAGCATATTTACAATGTACATGTATGCCAGCATATTTAAAATTTTATAACGCTTGGTCGTATTTTTTTAGCGGAAAAGTATTTGAAATTGCTCTATGCGGCTAGAATGATAGAATGACTGACCCCCCCGGATTTTATTGTTCCAAATTAAAATTTCCCGTAGTTTCACATTCACTTTCAGATTCGCACTAAAACAGTGATAATCTTGGACAAATCGCTAAACCACTGCAACAGTTTTAATGCAGCCCATACCGTAAAGATTTTCATTCATCTACATGACTACATCATTATACACTTCATTTGACATGGTTTTCATCGCGATTCACAATTGTGTGCGTGCAGGAAAAATCGCAAAAGACAGGCCATCAAGACGTGAATTCATGCTGCGCCATATTGTCGCAAGTGATCGGCAATATTATATTTCGCTGTGTAAAGCAAAATACCAGTTGTAGCTCCCTAGGCCAAAAAAAAATATGTGGGTTTCCGGTTTCCCGACCCTACCTAGCTTTTGGACGTCGAAATCCCGACCCTAAACTTTTTTATTGGATCATGCTTGTAAGTGTTTCCACTTAGAGGAAAAGTTTGTGGAAAATTGAAATTTGAGGCAATATTAGGGAAATTTATCTTTGGATGTGGAAGCACTGACTAAACAAAATGGCGTCCGCTTGTTCGGAAAATTAAAAAAAAAGTTTAAAAATAAAAGTTAAAACCGACCTACCCTACCTAAGTTTTTATAAGAAGAAACCGGAAACCCACATATTTTTTTTTTGGCCCTATTAAATCTCTAAAATTCATTCATTTTTACGGGGATCTATTATAGGGGGTTGGTCGCTCCGGAAACCGTCGTATTTTTGTCTTCTTCACCGTTAATCGCCCATATTTTCTTCGTGAAAACCGTAACCGTAATTTTTCTTTTAGCCTGATACAGTAAAAGTGTATCGCCCAGGGACTTCGGAACGATCGACAAGAGAACAAAAATGGCAGATATCCTTGAGAAACATTTAACTGCATGCATGATATATATTCAGAAATCTTGTTGGGCGCCTAGCATGTTCCAGACCCAAATAGAACACAATATGATCTCTCTGATGAATTTCAATACTGCACGCAACCTCCTTCCCAGGCTCTTCCCTCTTTTTGAGGACTGCACGTAGCTTTAACTAACTATTATTGCAAGCTTGTGGGGGAGTGCAGACATTCTGTCTGTACGAATTGAAATTTTTTCGCCGCCCTTTTGCTGAACAAAGAAAATTAAAAACAAAATGCTTCAACCATATATTGTAAAAAAAAATACTTACGCCTTTCATTATGTAAGTGCCGAATCTATTCTTGATTTTCATATGACGTCATAAAAGTGACGGGGGGTCAACCCTAAAACAATAGCCTTGTGTTTGGTGGCATGGAATACATGGAATTTCGTACCAGTGCAGCATAAGCGTCAATACATTTGAGGTTGATTCCACGTCAGATTCACTGCATAATGCTGCAGTGAAACCCAAGAATAGGAAAGTTTAGCCTGTATATTGTCAGGTCTAAACTCTTCTCCCTAAGGGAAAGTACATCTTACGCCGAGGGGGGGGGGAGGGGATGAAGATGTCTTGAAAAAAGCTCATATTTTAATACAGGGCCCCTGTTGAGGTTTTGGTATGCCCCCTTCAAGTTTTTAAAATTTTCATTGCCATCCCCTCCAGAATTCGGAATCGAAGGAATACATATAGTGTTTATATTATCAAACTTTAAGGATTTATTCTCTCGCTCATTTACTACAATACTCTCTCTCCAAACACTACTCTGTCTCCCCTCGTGTTCCTCACGTGACTGTGACGTCACAGACACTACATCCCTCTTTTACGTGAAAATGCTTAACCAAACGTCAATAAACATGCAAAACTAAATATCAATTGTCAGAGTTTGTAACTGTCAATTCGTATACTGTCTTACTCTTCCGGACTGCGTGAATGTCACTTTTCATGTCCAAGATATTCAGGAGGTTTTCGCTGTCGCTGGGGTCTAGGCTTTGTTGTTGTATCAACCACTTGGTCTGGTTTCCGTTTGGCTTCGTGTGGATGATTATCTGTTCCCTCCGGCGGCAATTTGCGAACTGCTGACGAATTCCTCATTATCTCGGGCTCAGCTCGTCTCTTTAGAAGAAAACTTGTGCCTTTCGTTCCTACCACTATATATGGGTCTGGGTCATATTTTGTGGATAATTTATTCTTTCGTTCTTGCTTCAAAAGAACTTTGTCACCCCTCTTTATGTTGGAAGGTGCTGCACGTCTTTTCTCATCCGCATACTTCTTCATCTTTGCTTTCTGACAACGATCACGCTCTAGAATGGCGGGGTCGACAACAGGTGACGTTGAAGCTGGCGAACGGCTAGTGTTCAACGACGGGAGCTTGGTGCGTATCTCTCGACCAAACAAGAGAACAGCGGGTGATTTGCCAGTAGTGCAATGAGCTGTTGCTCGGTAATTGAGTAGGAAGGTGTTGAGCTCGCTTTTCCAATCTTTTCCTTCAATATTTGCAGCGCGAATGGCCTTCTCGAGTGTGCGGTTAAACCGTTCGGCTTCGGAATTGGCTTGTGGCCAATAAGGTGTTACTCGACGGTGTGTGATGCCGTGCTCTCGAAGATACAAATCAAACTCTTCAGCCACAAATTGAGGTCCATTGTCTGTAACGATTGCTTCTGGGAGACCATGCACAGCGAAGCACGATTTCATGCGATTGATGATGACTGCTGCAGTTGTGCTCTTTAAAATGAAAACTTCTGGCCATCGAGAACATGAATCAACTAAAACCAGAAGCGACTCACCACTAGGGAAAGGACCACATAGATCAGCATGCAAGACGGTCCACGGACGTGAAGGCATTTCTGTCATGGTAAGTGGCTGTGGGCATGACTGGGAGGACTGGGCCTGACAGGAAATACAGGAACGAATCAAGTGTTCAACGTCTTTGTCGATCCCAGGCCACCAGACTTTCTCTCGCAAGAGCTGTTTTGTTCGAACAATCCCTTGGTGGCCTTCGTGTGCCAGTTGTAGGGTGGTAGGTTGTAGACTGGCTGGACCACGATACGCGAGCCACGAAGAAGTAAGGACTCTGTCGCTGTCAGTTCATTTTTAACGCAAAAATAGGGATCTGTTTCTTTAGTTTTCGGCCAGTTACCCGAGACGACTGACTGGTGGACTCGCTGGAGGACGGGGTCTCGCGCCGTAGCCTGCTCTAGCTGAGTAAGGGTCATTGCTTTGGGGATGGCGTTGCGGGCTATGTAGTGGACATACTCCTCCGCAATGTTCCGTTCTCGGTGCACTGTGTTTGGCAAGGGCAGGCGAGATAACATATCGGCAGGGTTGGTGGCACCCGGAGAATATTGCAGGCGAAATGTGTAAGGCTGGAGGCGTAGTCCCCAGCGTTCAATTCTTGCTGGGGGCTTTGAGGTGGGACTATAAATCACCTCGAGGGGTTTGTGATCGGTAAGCAAGTCAAAGGTGGTGCCATATAAGTAAAGGTGAAACTTTTCGCAGCCCCAAACAACTGCTAGGGCCTCACGCTCTGTTTGGGAGTAGCGGCGTTCCACTGGGGTAAGCGTTCGACTGGCATATGCGACGGGTCTCACCGCACCCTGCTGGGTTTGAGTCAAAATAGCCCCCAGACCAACAGGGCTAGCATCGACACGTAACTGGGTGGGAGCTGCAGGGTCATAGTGGGCCATGACACAGTCACTAGTTAGCATTTTCCTAAGTTTGTCAAAGGAGGATTGATGGGTGTTGGTCCATTGCCATGGCACAGCTTTACGGGTTAGCTCGGAAAGGGGGTAAGCAATGGTGGAAAAAGCTGGGATAAATCGCCGACAGAAACTGGCTAGGCCCAGAAAACTGCGAACCTCTGAAGCATTCGTGGGTGTTGGGGCATTACAAATAGCCTCGACTGACTGGGCGTTCGGGCGAATCCCACGGGCAGAAATATCAAAGCCAAAAAAAGTTATTTCCGAAACACTGAACATGCATTTCGCACTGTTTAACGAAGTCCCCGTTCTTGAAGTCGAGAAAGTACTCCATGCAGATTTCTGTCATGTTCTGACTTGTCCTTGCCGAAAACAATTATATCATCCGAGATGTTCTTGACCCCCGGTAGACCGTGTAGAACTTGTTGGATAGTATGTTGATAAATCTCAGGAGCAGCGGATATCCCGAACATAAGACGCTTATACCGGTACAAGCCATCATGAGTAGTAAAGGTGGTCAATTCTCTGGATTGCTCGTCCAGTTCAATTTGATGGTAGCCCCACTTCAGGTCTAATTTCGAAAAAACAGCTGCTCCATTGAGATCCTGAAGGCTTTCTTCGACTGTGGAAATGGGATACCGCTCTCGTATTACAGCCGTATTTACCTGGCGCATGTCTACGCAGACACGGATTTCACCACTAGATTTTGGTACGACCACCAAGGGTGAGACCCAGGGTGTTGGGCCACGGACCTCCTCGATTATATCCAGCCTTTCGAGTTCTTCAAGTTTGGCGGAAACTTGCTTGCGAACGTGGAAGGGAATTCGACGTGGGGGCTGAGCAACAGGTTTGATGTTGGTGTTGATGGAAATTTTCTGCTGGTAATTGGTGAGTTTTCCTACTCCGTCAAAGACACTGGGATACCGTTGGCGAAGGGAATGGGGAGATACTGCACAATTGATGGACGAAACTTGAGGTCCAACCCGCAAAAGTCCCAGTTGAGTGGCAGTTTGTCGCCCGAGAAGACAACCAGCGTGTTGGTCGTGTACCACTACGAACTTTGCCACGATTTCTGCAGAATTGCATTTTACCCGACCGGAGACTGTTCCCAGGATATTAAATGGGGTCGTAGAACCGTATGCGTAAACACGAAGGGTAGAAGGCATTAACTGGACTCCTTTTCGCGCTTTTAGACGATGATATGTCTCAAGATCAAGGACGTTAACACTAGCCCCCGAGTCAATAAGCATTTGCACTGGAATGTGTTCAATTTCCAACATATGATCGAAGGCTGTCCGAGCGATGATGCACATTATGAGCCGTGAGAGTAAATAAACATTCGTTCTCAGAAGAGTCATCGTCAAACTGTTCAAGCTGTCGTGCATTCTCCCTGTATTGCTTCGGTTTGTTGGTCTTTTGGCGACAGACCCTAGCAAAATGACCGGACTTGCCACAACGTCGGCAGGTTTTGTCAAGGGCAGGACATTGGACATCCTTCGCACGGTGCCCTTCGTTTCCACAACAATAACAAACACATGTTTGCCTGTTATTGTCTTCACGCTTCGCAGAATTACGCCGTGGTTGTTGAAAATCTCTATTTCGTTCGATGGAATTGAGGTGAGTGGATGATTCAAACTTTTGTTCGATTTCTAAGGCCTGGCGATCGGCCAGTTCGAATGAACGAGCAATCGATAATAAATTGTTCAATGTTAGTTCTTGTTCTCGTAGTAGGCGACGCCGAAGAGCGTTCGAAGCACACTTTTCAATGACTTGGTCACGGATCATTTCATCTAAACTTGTATCGAACTGGCACGTTTTTGCAAGAGTTCTCAAGCGAGTTACAAAAGCATCCATGGACTCGTCGGCACGTTGGGTTGCTTGTCTGAAAACATGACGTTCGAAAGCTATGTTTTTACACGGGTTGAAATGTGCATTCAATTTCTCGAGCGCTGTTTTGTAATCCTCGCCAGTATCAGGCAACGTCTCGAAGATTTCTTGTACTTCTGCACCCGCTAAATGAAGTAGAATGGCCCGCTTTTGCTTTTGATCGGAGATGCCCGAAGCACGAACGTAGTAATCGAGCGAGTTCGTCCATTTGTCCCAACGTTGTGCCAACGAACTCGTTTCAGACACAGAAAAGGGTGGAATAGCCGGTAAATCAAGGACCTTAGCCATTTCGTATGAAAATCAACCAACGTCGATACTTTTACTTTACCTCGTCGCCAATTATAGTGTTTATATTATCAAACTTTAAGGATTTATTCTCTCGCTCGTTTACTACAATACTCTCTCTCTAAACACTACTCTGTCTCCCCTCGTGTTCCTCACGTGACTGTGACGTCACAGACACTACAGGTACATAGGACATAAATAACTACAAGGCTAGCCACTTATCTGATGTACCCTCCGACAAGACGAACTTTGTTTGTCCAAAATCCAAAATTCCATTTTCGAAAGAGGCGCTAACCCCATGATCGTTGCCACGAGAGCGGCTCAGCAACCTGGCCTCCTCGTTTGAAAACAATCCGCCAGGGGGGAGAATCTGCACTGGAATGAGGGGGCTTTCAAAACAACACGATCAAAAACACGATACAAACTAGAAGTTACTATCGCAAGGAAAGTGCTGCCTCACTCTGCCTTCCATCGCATAAGCATATAAAGCACCCCTGAAGGCCCATCTACACGATACGACTAGTCATATACGATTCTTATCCTGGCGTATCTACTCGAATAAATCATGTGCGAAAAATGTCAAATTTCAAACTTCACGATAAACTGATGAACAGGAATAGTGGCATCAGCAATCGTTTTCATACGCCAGGATAAGAATACGACTTGATGTATCGTGGAGAGAGGCCTTAAGACACCTGCTTAGGAGTTAGGAAAAGTGCAATTTGAATTGTTACGAAAACACCTTGCACAAAGTTGAAGGTTAACTAAATGCCTAAATACTCTAATTGTATTGACTTCCACAAATTCCTTACTCTTCAAGAAATTACTTCTTTGAAAATTCCTTCGTTTTAAACAAAGATGAAGGACTTTGCAAAAGTCTACAGGTCATGCTAGGCAAGTTTTTAATGATTTGCATTATTCAAATAGATGCAGGTTTATTAGCATATCATAACCAGTTGTTATGGGTAGCTTGCCACTGAATACTATACAATATCATATATAACAAACGATAATAATACTTGAATGAATCACTGGATATGTAGAATTTAATAACAATTTCATATATAGAAATACAACCAGTGAGTCAGTTTTTGTCCCAATTATCTACCGATGAACTACTGAACAATCTGCTGATGGAGAGACAGAATCTATTTTTTTGACATTTTTGTTTAAGCCTGGTTCACACTGGTCGTAATTCATTGGCGATCTATTGTATTCTTTTCCGACAGACAAAGCATTTTACACACCAATGATCACATACAATGGAAATCCCCGATTTTTACGAGGTATTAATATGTCAGCTTCATATGACACCATTCATTGTATAAATTAATGATTAAGATTGTAATTGTTTAATACGTCAGCTTCATATGACACCATTCATTGTGTTGATTAAGACTGTACTCAGTCAGAACTGCAAAACTATATAATAAGAAAGAAATTGTGTGCATTATGGAAAAAGTCAGATAATTTTTCATTTGTATGCAATTGTGTGTTCCAATTTGGACATCATACTGCTCATTTGACCTTATGCATAATGATGTCACAAGACTTCATGCCAGCAAGGAATGCTGGTCTTAGTAGTCATTGCTCGGGAAAATTAAACAATTCAAAATGGCCACTATCAAAATTTTCCTGGACCGTGACGACTACTAAGACCAGCATTCCTCGCAGGCATCAAGCCTTGAGACATCATTATGCATAAGGTCTATTGATGTGCAGTAAAGCCCCATATAAAAGAACCAATAGGTTAAGAACCACTAGCCTGAAATTTGGGCAATAACAAGTTTTAATATATGCGACAAGAACCATATTAATTAGTGTCATAGCAATAGTTTTGTGCAACAACAAGTCCCTATTTAATGTTTAGAGTATAAAAAAGTATGGTGAGAAGTAAGATTATATAAGAATCACTTCAGCCTGAAGTCAAAATTCACTGGTTCTTTTATGCAGGGCTTTAATACTGCATATCATATTCCCATAATAACAATATTACTAGTAATAATCATTTTACTGCATGTACATATTTAACTATTTTATTGGCGATTTTCTAATTGACATACAACCTATATATTTGTAAAATTTGATATACAATACCTTGTTGGCTTGATCTTTCGACATAATCAGAATACAACTTTATTATTGCCAACGATTGCCCAGCTAACGAGATCACACTTCGCTAGTATAAACTATAGTACAAAATATAGCGAGTTCACACTTCACACATCGCTAGCAAGTTTGGTACAGGTACAGCGAGTTCCCAATTCATTGTTTTTTTGAAAATAATAATATGAGCAGCCCCTTTTCATTTGATTTGACCAAAAGATCCCCGCGAACACACGCCAAAAAATACACCTAGAGGAGTAGAGGAGATAAAAATGTTCTAGTAATTTGTCAAAATATCAAAAACACTGTCACTGCAGAGTAAACCAACAGCAATACAAAATATACATGTCAGGATAACTTACTTTGAAACGACAACCCAATAGTATTCGATATTTTTTGAAAAACCTTTAAAGGATCTCCCTTTCTCACAATACCTGAATATAAAGGACAGAATTCATACAAAGTATGTCTTTGCTTCGCTTCTGACCTCGTGTTAAAATGCTACAAAGCTTGCTGATCAAAATATTTTTAAACGCCATACTTGGTACGTCGTTGGCAGTCGCTGAGCAACTTATTTGGAATGCTCTAATGTAAATTCCTTATTGCTACGTCATAATTGACGTCACAAAACTGCTGACAAACACTTGAACGACACAAAATCGAGATCCGCTTCAGTATATAAAACTGTTGGCGGGAAATTCAAATGCGCTAAAAACATCGTCAAGAATAGGAGGCTGCCTTCGGCAGCAATACGGTTATACGGTTGAAGTGTTGAAGACATACGGTTGAAGTGTTAAACGAAGTCAAGTTCGATACTTTAGAAAGATTTGTATGATTGTTAAAAGCTAAAAGTTATCATAGTAAGTAAATAACGTTTTTGTTCTAAAAAATATGTAAGGAAAAGTTCATATTAAACGAGATATATTTCTAATGTTTCTCGTGCTTCTAAAAATAGGGCTAATTTTCAAAACGTGTTTATTGTTTATTGTTTATTGTCGAATACGGATGATAAAGTCAGGGACGCCGGAACGACAAAAAGGCAAAGGGGGGCGGGGGGCAGACGTACACCAAGGGCACCTCTACAGATCAAAAGTTCAAAATATACCTGAAAATTTTTTTTTACATGGAAATTTCTTGGGCGACCTCCCCCC